TTTCACTCAGCATAATGTTCTCCAGAGTCAACCATTTTGAATAATATTGCATGAGTTCCTTGTTTTTTAATGCAGCATAGTATTCCATTGACACCGTTGCTCTTGATGACAAATAGCAAATTTAATATGCTGGCAAGGGTGTATACACGTCTTAGGAACATGCCTGCAGGGGTAATCACATTATCCCTTATCTGACAAACAAAAAGGTATCAATTTCCTAGAATTCTGAGGCCTTTGGTCACTCCCTATTCATTAGCATACTGCTTCCTGGAGTTATTTACTGTAGAAGGGAAGGTCAAGCCAAGATGAGTGGTCCTGCTGTGTTTTTTTTTTAAATTTATTTTATTTCATTGTTTTTTGTGTGTACCGCCAAATCAGATCTGACTGGTACAGGAGGAGATTGTTCCTCCTTCTCCAGCAGAGCATCTGGTGGATTCGAACCGTGCATCTCAGAGATTGCAGTTGCAGCTTCTTGACACTAGGTCCTGCTGTTTTTACAATGCATTGCTGATCCTGCTTTGCAGGTTAGGCAGTTCCCGACAGCAAGTACTAGATATTCCTGGGGAAAACCGTCACAGATACTGAAGCATATTGGCCTGACCTGGAGAAAGGCAGTAACCATACTGGAGGTTGTACAGTGTCTATGTATAGTCTACAAACCATTTGGAAATCAAAACTTGGTCTTCTCTCCACCTCTTTACTTCCAGAGAAATAACCCGTCTCAATCTCTGGGACATATCTTTGCTTCTTTAAAAAAAAAAAGGAAACAAAACCCTTAAGACTTGAGAAGGAAAGGACGAGAGATTCCCCGATCAGTGCTGTTATTGAGACAGGAACAGTGAAAATATTGTCTGTATTTTTTCTTCCTTTTTCCTCCTTACACTTTGTATTGTGATTTGGGGGAATTTTAGAGAATCAATTCATTAAAAAAAAACCCAAAACCAAAAAAACACCCCCCCCCATTGCTTTTGTTGTTGTGTGCCACTGAATTGGAAAGACTCCCAGCTGACCCTCCCGCCGACTGTGGGAGGCTGTAAAATGCATGGGAGGACCCTGCCCAGCTCTCTCCCTCAGAGCTGCTGGAGGATTCAAACCACCTGCCTTTGGGTTGGCAGCGCAGCAGCTACTTACCCACTAGATTGACCATCAGTGCTCCCTATTTAACTAGCTTCTCCTCACTTTCTGTCTACATCTCTGGTTTCCAATCTTCCTTCCCACCAGCCAGCCCCTTTTGCTTCCTCAACTCTATTCCTGGGCTAAATGGCCCTTTGGGTCTGCAATGGTTGTTTTCCTTTTTTCCTAGGTCTATTGTCTAGCTGGAAGGGCAGTTCAGTTGTTTTTTTTTTGTTTTTTTTTTAAGGGCAGTTCAGTTTTGAGCATGGTCTCTGAAGGCCCTATCAGGACAGCAAGGCTGTGCTCATTTAGGAGTTTGAGTTTGATGCGTGTATTTCTCCCTTTCTCTCAGGGACCTTCTGCTGAGATGGCTTTTGGATGGGTTCATGGTGGCAGTGTCCTGGTCCAGGGCTATGGAGGCCAAGGCTCCGTGGGGGTCTGGGTATCTTCCACATAAAACAGCATAGCTCACCCGTCCACGTGGCTGACTAGTTCCAAAGCCTCTTGGCCACTAGGAAACCAGCCCCGGCTGGGACCTGCCCACATGTTTGGCATGATGGACTGAGCAGGGGACATGTGACCGGGACACTGATGCAATCTGATGACAGCAGCGGCATGCCAAGCCAGGTGCAGGCTGACCACTCTGCTGGGAATGCAGCAGTGACCACAGGGCCCAGCCATCAGGAGCCTGGGCCTGGGATCCTGCGGAGGCGGGTTTGGCCTGGCTGTGCTAGTTCCAACTCAGGATCAACTGAGAGGCGGGGGGCACTGAGGGCGGCCGAGTGGATCCCTGGAGATGGTCCCTGAGGACACAGACTTGGTCTCTGGGGCCCATCGGGAAAGAGTGGACGCTGCAGTCCGCAGGGCCCAGGTTGGAGAAATGAAGGGCTCCCTAGGTGTTCGGAGAAGCCGTCCCCTTTTCCTTATGACTCAGGGTGAAGTCTCTCTCAGGGAGGAGTGATAGGGAATGGCAAAGGACACACTGACAAAGAAGATTAATCAGAACT